CCATACTTGGTCATCATAATGTCGAAATAACGACGGCCTCGAGAAACCTACACCTTCCACCAACAGATTTATCATCAAAGACACCGATCCAGGACCAAAATCATAAACAATGGGACAAAAGTAATCCAGTGTGCCGGTGGGTCTTTGATCATTCATTCTTGTATCTTTCGCCGCCATCGACATAAACATGACTAACATCTCTCTCCAAGTAACCTTCTTCTCCCCACTACGGGCGAGGAAGTCGACAACCCGTTGGGTCTCTGCGTTTATTGCCAGGCCGCCTACGATATTATATGGTAATCTGTATTCATTTGCCCGAATATAGGCTATAGAATAGACAGTCTTTCTCGCCGGCCGGATAGAGAATGTCCGTCTTACTTCGAGATACACCAGCCCTCCAGTAAGCGGGTGTATATCTGTCCAGTCACTGGCGCTCAGATTCCTTACCTAAAAGAAAAGAGCGGAAAGTGCCAGAAGTGCAAACGTAGTTACGAGAATAACTCGACTCCCATAACCAATAAAGAGGCCGTAATGTTGAGGGGATTGAGGGACCGAGGGACTGAGCGATACGTCACCCTGACCTTATATCACGGCCGCCATATCCGGATATGATGTAGTGCCAGCACCGAATCGCCCACAGCTCTCCACCACTACACACGCGTTGGAAAATCGGACACGTACCGCCACGACGATCATGAAGTTCTAGTGAAGTAATGCGCAAGTACCCTACATGATGCTCCGTGCTTGAACGTGGGAGCTGAAACGATATCCAGCTGCTACGTCACAACTCTTCCATCTGAAGCGACAGTAGCCTGGCCAACGGCGACATGGAGCGGCATCTCCAACGAAACCGACGCCAGCACAACCGTATCCTCCTCGCCAAGCACCGTACCGACAGTGCCCCTGGCAGCAGGCACATGGACCAACTGCACCCACTATGCCACATACATGGACGTGCCAGCCGACGCTTCGTACCTCGAGCTTGCCAACCCAAATTACTGCCTGATCAGGGCCTCCCTCTCGAATATCGAGCTGGAGCAACTCCTCCTCTGGAACCCATCGCTTCCCGAGATGTTGAACGAGACCATGCTCGATTCCTGCATGCTCGAAGAAGGGTTCCAGTACTGCGTTGACGGCGGCGGCGGCGGCAGTATCCCCTCGGGACCAAGCACAACGTTGCCGCCAAGTTCGTCATCAGCGGTACCCTCTTCCGGCGTTTCCGGCATTTCATCGTCGTCGACGAGCCTTGCGCCTGTTCCCACACCCAACAGTAACTGCGTCCTCGGCACTGGCCCAGGCGGCTACCAGGGTCTCTGTGATTTCAGCTGTCACTTTGGTTGGTGTCCATCGCCATGCACTTGCATAAAGACCGGAATACCCGCTCCGCCTCCAGCCCTCTTGACATCGGGTCAACGTGGTTACGCCGCACCAGGCGAAGCAGCAGACTTTGGTCCCCTCTGTGACTTTGCCTGCTCCCGAGTCGGGAACTATTGTCCCGGTCCGCCGTGCACCACCGTCCCCCCTGCTACTGTTTGCGTCGAGGGAACCGGTACCGGCAACTACGAGAGCCTAGTGGACTGTCATTGCGCTAAGGCTGGACGTTGTTACCTCCATTGACTCTGTAGGGCTCGTGAGCAATTTGTAGGCTACCCCCTCCATCATCAAGGTCCTCCAGGAGTGTAAAAGTCCATCCAATGCTTCCTTAACTTTGCAGACAGTGCTACTGTAGAAGAGACTCGGACAAGTGGATTGTAGGAGAGACATAGAGTTGGCTGCTGTCTCCACGCACCGGTCCATCGGTCCTCTTCTGATTGGTTAGCTACATGGATTGTCTCTTCTCGTGATACCTCTGCTGATTGGCCCATCTATTGTGTCTGCGTCTGTCCGTGTTCATGGTCGTGATATAATGGGACTGTAGGTTGGCAGCATCAGATAATGGGTTATACGCTCCTTGACATCCTCATGTTGCAGCGGATGATGTATCAAGAGAAGAAGAGAATCCACGAGAGAAATAACCTTAAGAATCCAGAAGCGTGGTTTCATCCACAATTGCCTACTGTACAGACTTGTTGTGTATTACCATTAGAAGCCATTTATGGCTTCAGTAGAGGCAGCGATTCCCTCTGCTTGTTGCCTAAGTCAAAACGTAGAAGCTGTTTCTGGCTCCAGCAAAGGCAGACCATCGCTGCCGCCACAGACAAAATGAAAGAAGCCGTTTCTGGCTTTAGCAGAGGCTGAGATTTCATATCATGATCCTAGCGCTGCCTTAGGCTCAATGGTTTGCGTTGTAATCATGTGGAAGCTGTTTTTGGCTCTGCAGGGGGCAGAAGTTCCTTTTTATATTGTCAAGCCAACTGGCTATGCTCCAAAAATGGCTCTGCTCCAAAAATGGCTCTTGGAATCAAACAGACCCACTCAAAAGGTAGCATTCGATGGCTGGCGGCTCCGTAAGGCGAGTATGAACTAGCGTAAAAATGCAATCTTATATGCTTGATTAAGTTAAAAACTATCCAAAGTTTCGGTGAACCGGGATGTAGGAATAATGTTTGGGGAGATGATTTGTCTGATTTGGACGAATTCAGAAACTGATCCTGGCGTAACGCTGCAGGAGCTGTTTCTGACTCTGGCGAAAGCAGGGGTTTACCTGTCATAATCCCTACCTGCTTGACCGAACGGTCTACGCTCCAGAAACAGCTCTGGAATAACACGACGCTTTTCTGCTAGGCAGAAAGAGCACGTGTTTTTGCTGCGATGATCGATACGTAGCTTTCCTGCCAGCGTCACAATTAACCAACGACAAGCCGCACGGCGGTGGCCGCATATAGGACGCGGGGGCGTCCCAACTAATCACCTAGGAACTAGAAGGGAACCAGTCAGGATGGCCAGAAAGTGCTATGGCGCTAAGACGCCCGAAATGTTGCATACTGCAAGATGCTCGAGGGTGCTCGGCGAAAGAGCAGGACGAGCACTCGGGAAGAATTCTAGTATATAGTCGTTCGGTTAGGATGGGCTCGGAGGAGTTAATCAGTTTGCAATACAAGTATCCTGAGAGACTGATATATGCTATTACCAGGAACCGAGGCGCTCTGACAACCCTCAGCTACGAGACGAGTATCGTGTTTATAAAACTCTCTCCGGCGGCGGTCAAGAGCTGATGGATGGTATTCCGAGGGTTCATTCTTTTAATCCCTTTAGCTTTTACGCTGGTATTCGCAAGAACCTCTTCCGCATCGCCCCTGGGCCCAACGGGACACCCAACGAGCCTGTTGCCCGGCTACAGGCTTTGCGCTCCAAGCTCTTGATCCCGACCAATGTCGACCATGACCCTTACATCGTCGCCACGCTCCTCGCCATGGCGCAAGCGCACTTTTACCGGATACCCGCCTACAGCGGCAGGATGACCCCCAATGGCAGCCAGGGCCAGAAGGGCGTGCGACTGCGCATGCCACAGTTCCGCGACATCAAGGTTCAGCTCATCACCCATGACGAGGGCCAAAAAAGTGATCCTCATTTCATCGTCTATACTGCCGTCGTCACCGCTGCCTTCTTGGAGAGGTTCATGACCCCGCACAAGACCCCCTGCTCACGGTCTGTCGACAGCGAAGCTGGGCTCGGCATGAAGATTGCCTATACCCCAGTCAAGGTCTGGCCTATTCTTGGTCTCAAGGAGCGTCTTGCCAAGGCACTCGGGCCTGAGATTTCGGGCGTCTTGCCATTTGACAACCCGGACTTTATCGACCTCCACGGCCCACTGGTTGAGCCTGCCCCTGAACAACTGCCCGTCTTTGCCCACCTCATCAGTCAGCGCAAGCTCAAGCGGCGGCGCGAGAGGCAGCCCATAGAAGAGATGCTGAATAGCAGTTTTGAGGAGGAACCGCCCAGCTCGGACGATCGGCCTGTACTCAGTTCAAGCGCTAAGAGGAGACGGACAGCACGGTCGGTTGGGACTTTGGAGGTTTGCTAGGAACGCTCTTCCTAGCCTTTGGTTTTTTTGATTTTCTTCTTTTTCGCCGCATCATCACGACATTTGAGCATGGCACGAATGAATGACGGACCTGAAACGAAAAGGGAATGAGTGTTACGGAAATTGTAACTAATGAGGGAGCGTTTTTTTTGTTTTTTTTTGTTTTTTTCTGATGTATTGTACATATGCTCACGGATACCCCCTTTGCTTTTTCACAGCCAATGGTTGGAAAACCTGGATACTGGCATAGACGCGTGTGAGACGCGGTGGACTCGACGAAGCATGAAAGTAGGCAGGCGTTGACTGGAAAGCATCACTGGGTTTGGGCACAGGGGAGGTTCTGTAGATTTCTCTTTATATCATGGTGCTGGCTGATTGGCAAGGACGAGCCAGCAATGGTTCGTCGTTGTTTCGGATGGCAGCCTTTTCTTACCTCAATGGACATGACAAGGGCGTTTCTTCCTCTGCCGCATCAAAAGACAACATGAAGGTGTTTGATTTGTAGTGTGCAGAGCGACCCCACTGTGCGGAAGTCCTTGGACCAGGGTGGCTAAGACCAAGGGTTCATTGGTCTGAAGTTGTCACGGTTGTTGCGGCCCGTTGCAGATCCCTGCGCGCATCGATGGCATCTTGCAGCGGGAATGACATCAATTATTCTTGGACGGAGAAAGAAACGAGATGGGAGCATGGATCACATCTTGTTGTGCTATATGTATATTTGAAGCTGAGTGACACTGTGGTTGGTGTAAATTGGATGTACCATCGAGCTTGCAAAGAAAGAAATATATATATTCATCTGCTCAAATCATAAACATACATAGATTGACAAGGTGGATGAATGGCTGCATGTGTGATGCGAAACTGTCAACATCTTACATGGCGATGACGGCTACAGAATTGGACACATCAAAGTCACGGCAAAACTCATGAGGGATTAATAGCAGAGAGCTGTGTGTGGCCCAGGGTACCTAAGGTAGATAAAGATTCAAAAGCATACATTTGATTGATAATAAAGCAGAATAAAAATAAAAAAAGTTTCCCACACCGGGAATTGAACCCGGGTCTCCAGGGAAGTCTTTCTCCGGTCTCTTGGTGATTCAAGAGGGATGTGAAAACCTGGTATGCTAACTACTACACTATATGGGAGTTTGCTTGTTGAATTTGGCTTTTGGGGAAACGGTTGAAGAAGGTGGTAAAATCTGGAGGAGGAAGGAGCGTGGCTGAGAGTTACTACCTTAGCTGGTGAGCGGTGGGTTGTGAGGAAGGTGTTTCCTCTTTTTTTTGCTTTGAAATCGACACCTTCCAGGTTGATTCCAGCTCAACCCGAATCAAAGACCATCTTGATTCCGCCTTGCAATGCCCCTTTCCCCGACTCAGATACCACCAGCTTGGCAGCTTTCTTGCCTACAGACAGAGACGACTGAAAGATTTCACTAATATAGCTAGGCAAGACTTTCCATATGTCCGGTTGCTCCATGTTGATACTATCCAGGGGGCGCGGAAGAGCTTATCATTTCTGAAAAGGGAAGTGGCTGGACGCAAAGACGAGAGATCGTCAGGGCAGAGCCCCCTTCCAAGCTACCGACCTAGAGATCTAACTTTTTCCTGACTCGGGGCATCTCACTTTCACATGCTGGGAAATACGGTCACATTCGAGTTGCTAATAAAATCTACAGCCGCCCGTCGATTTGTGGAAATCCGGGGAAGACATTGTACCTGTACATCCCACTACTTACGTCCCTAGTGTAGGCTGGTAGATGCGGGGTGCATTAGCTCTCTTCCATCTCGCTGACCTCTCTCCCCTCTCCGGGTCCCCGCTGCGTCTTGGGAAATAGGGCGACGGGTGCGGAGGACATCAGGATTTTGGCTTGTGAAAGTACCGATACTGTTCCTACTGACGGAAGACACCGTGACGGTTCCCTCATTGTTTGTCGTGTTCGGTGTGCTCAGACTGCTCCTGGATATCTCGGGGCTCGGATAACCGGAGGTCTGAGAACTTACATGCTCATGATGTTTAGTGCGCAATGGATGACATTTGCTGACTTTGAATTGACACATCTACACCTCGGCAGCGTCCTGCGCCATTGTTGCGATGATTGGCATATGAAAGTTGGAGATGGGTGCTGGGCTGACTACCGGCGTCGATGGCCACCGGAGAATTCAAACAGGGAGAGCTGTTGTCTAGGGTTGGTCACCCTCTTGCAGGTTCTTGATGAGCTTGGCCAGACACACTAAGGCGGACCAGCACGACAGTAACAGGGGCTGCTCGTGTTCGTCATCGTGGACCAAGGGGAGAGCTCAGGACGGGGGATGTGATTGAGTGGAGGATGCTCCGAGACTTTAGGCTCGTACGAGTCGTTCTGTGTAGGAGGTATGTATGTAAGGTAGGTACAAGGCAGGTAGTGTACTCTGTCGTGGACTTGGGACACCGGGGGCTGAGTTCCGAGTCTTGGGCTTTTGTGTTGTATTTCCCGAGCGCCATCTTGGACGACCTGACTCGCCATGTTGGTCAACAGACATGTTTCGCAACACAACACCTTTCCCTTCTCGAATACGGTATCGTCTGCCGTCATAACGCCAAGAATCTATTCACGGCTGGCGGAGCGACGATTGCCTTGCCCAGACCTGGATGGCGTCGGCCGTTATAAACAGAAAAGGAAAAGAGCGCTGGCAGGCGCATCTTCCCACCGACTGCCCGACCTCTGTTATTGCTCCGGGTAGATACATAATGCTCGAGCAGGATAACCCTCGCGCGGGGTGCTCACGGCGGTAAAAATAACATCAGCTTTTCTGGACCCTTTTCATAGCACCGTCAAAGAAGCTCCACTTTTGCACAACAGTTCCCCTGGCGCTCACCACCATATTCTCGCTTCCTTGACACCCCGGTGATGTAGAGCCGTCGCTCCAAGATCTTTTCTTTCCAGCAGGCTACCCCTCACCCGGGACCGTTGCCAGCGCGAGTCTGGGCTGCGGGGAAATCTGTATCTGTGTCTCGATAGTGTCTTTGCATCTAGCGTACCAGCCCGGTCGAGGAAATAGATCTACAGCCCACGATCTGCTTGCCGCAAGTTAGCTTTCCTTCCCACCTATCCCCCAAAGCCGAGGCTTCTCTAGCGTCAGACACCAAAAGCTTCTTCACATGCCCACTGTTTTTTGCTGTTTGAGCACGGCTGACGACGGTATTCACAGCAGTGTTTTTGGCAGAGGTTTCTATATTACCTTACGTACATACATGATGCTAGATGCGCGGAATAAGAGACAGCGCTAGACTCTCAGTGCTACCTTCCACAGCGCCCCAGACCGCCGGATGACCACAGGTGTTCTCAGGTATTGTCATCCCCCCACGATAGGGGATGGGCCAGCGGGAGGTTTTCATACCCAACCCCCAAAATCTAATCTCGTGGTCCACTCCATGCCTTGGAGGGCTGTTAGCGAAGGACCATAGGCGCCACACCTCATCGGTCGTGCGCAAGATACAAAACGCCTTTTTGAATTCTCAAAAATGCCTTTATCAAAGCTGTCAAGGCCTTCCTAAGAACCAGAAGTATGCTGAGAGGGACGATCACGATGCAAGGCAAGGGCTTATGGATAATTTTCTTTCTGATGTCTAGTCCTAACAGCGGTTCAAGGCCAGGAGAGTACAACACTCAGAGCCGCCCCGAATGAAACCTCAAAACTAGATCGCCGCGCCTCGGAGTGGTACCGCAACGGCAGTCCCCCCGATGCCTCCCCCGGCCGCTTGCCCATCCTGTACATATCTCCTTGATGCCAGTCAGTCAAGTGGCTTGCTGGAGACCATGTCCGCGTACATGGGAGCTTTTTCTGGGGAAGCCTTGTCATGTCACAGTAACCCGCGTCATGTCACCGTAACCCACAATGGTGGAGTGCAGCAGGGCAGGTACAAGCTCTTGTCGTTGAGATTTCAAGTGGACACAAACCACAGCGGTTGTTGAACAAACGGCATATGGCGAGAGCTATATAGATCTCGTCCCTCGCCGCCCTCCTTGGGCATAAGAGAGGTCGTCAGCCAGGGAATCTCATCCGTCACCTCCGCATCCCAGACAAAACACCATGAAGGGCGTCGCCACTCTCGTCGCCGCCGCGGCCCTCGTTGGCCAGGCCTTCGCCGCTCCTCCTGAGCCGCCTACACAGGTTCTTGAGAAGAGGGCCCGGCCGACCGTCTCCATCGCCCAGGGCAATGTCGTCGGTGTCACACGCATTAACACGGAAGCCTTCAATGGCATTCCCTTTGCGCAGGCCCCCGTTGGCCCTCTCCGCCTGAAGCCTCCCGTCAGAACCACTGCTTCTTTCGGTACCTACGACGCCGGTGGTATTGCCGCCGCTTGCCCTCAGTTCTTGGCCGATACCGACTCGGAAGACTTTCTTACCCGAGTCATCGATAAGCTTATCAACACTACTCTGTTCCAGAAGGCACTCAAGATCAGCGAGGACTGCCTTAACATTAACGTGATTCGTCCTACCGGTACTAAGGCGGGTGACAAGTTGCCTGTGTTATTCTGGATCTACGGAGGCGGTTTCGAGGTAAGTAATTGAACATCTTGTATGTTTAATGTCGTCTACTTGGCTAACCTTTTACTACAGCTCGGCTGGAGCTCTATATATGACGGAGGTCCGCTTGTCTCTAATGCTATGGCCGCCGGAAAGCCCTATATATTTGTCGCTGTCAACTACCGTGTGGGTGCCTTTGGTTTCATGCCCGGCAAAGAGATTCTCCAGGATGGCTCTGCTAATCTTGGCCACCTTGACCAGCGTATGGGCCTCGAGTGGGTTGCCGATAACATTGCTGCGTTCGGCGGGGACCCGGATAAGGTCACCATCTGGGGCGAGTCGGCCGGCGCTATCTCGGTGTGGAACATGATGTCCATGTATGACGGAAACATCAGCTATAAGGGCAAACCTCTGTTCCGCGGCGCTATTATAAACTCGGGCAGTATTGTCCCTGCCGACCCCGTCAACTGCCCTAAGGGCCAGGAGATCTACGATACGGTAGTGGCCCGCACTAGCTGCAGCGGTACTGCTGACACCCTCAACTGCCTGCGCAACTTGCCCTATCAGACCTTCCTGAAGGCCGCTAACTCGGTCCCCGCTATCTTGTCCTACAACTCGGTAGCTCTCTCGTACCTGCCCCGTCCCGACGGTGTTACTCTGACCGACAGCGCCGACCGTCTTGTCCGCGCAGGCAAGTACGCCGCCGTGCCCATGATTATCGGCGACCAGGAAGACGAGGGCACCATCTTCTCGCTCTTCCAATGGAACGTCACCTCTACTAGTAGGCTCGAGGACTACCTCAGGGGGTACTTTTTCCACGGCGCTACCGCCAAGCAAATCAAGGGCCTCGTCGCCGAGTACTCCCCCCTGATCTCGGCCGGCTCCCCCTTCGGCTCGGGCATCTTCAACGAGTTCTACCCCGGCTTCAAGCGCCTCGCCGCCCTTCTCGGCGACGTCGTCTTCACCCTCACCCGCCGCGTCTTTATCGAGTACGCCGTGGCCGCTAACCCGAGCGTGCCCGTGTGGTCGTACCTGGCCAGCTATAACGAGGGCACCCTGTTCCTGGGCACCTTCCACGGCAGCGACCTGCTGCAGGTGTTTTACGGCATCCTGCCCAACTACGCGAGCAGGAGCATCCAGAACTTTTACGCCAACTTTGTGTACAACCTCGACCCCAACGACGCGTCGGGCGGGACGAGCGCCATGAGCAAGGTGAAGGAGAACTGGCCGACGTGGAATGCGAAAGACAGGAGGCTGATTCAGTTCTTCAACAACCGGAACGGGTACCTCAAGGATGACTTCCGCGAGGGGGCCAAGAAGTACATTGCTAGCAATATTGATTCGCTGCATATTTGAAGGGGGGGAGCATCCTTTTTGTTTTTGTTTTTTTCTTTACTTTTTCTTTTGTTTTTGTGCATTCTTGGGATGATGTTATGATGATTATGAGTTCCAGGTTGATTGGATGGGATTTACTATGAACAAAGGGGGAGAGGGGGTTGATGAATGGGGCGGTAACATGTTCAGGCCACGCTTCAAGACACCGTAGGTAGTCGTAGCTGTGTGTCTGCTGCTGGGATTTGCGTCTCAGCAGGAGTGGGAATACAGAATCACAGATAATTCGTTCATTAATAACAAAT